GTGATACCCAACAAGAAAAACAGCTGCCACACAGGTAAATGCTGGAATTTAAATCTAGTGGTCCATGGAAGTATTTAATTTCCAAAATTCTCATTGATTTAACAGATTTTGTTAATCTCCTCCCTTCGTGTTACTCATTGTTTTCTTTTCCATTCTTTCTTTAATCATTCCCAGAAACTACTGACATGCAGTAGTAGACAAAATTAAGATTGTGGTATTTGCCATGACTTTAAGATCCTTGAAAACTGGACAACATGATGTATTTAAGCTTGACATACTTTAGCTTCACAATAACGAAGAGTTTTGCCTATTTATTTTAACTAGATCTTATTTTTCCCATTAAAAAGTCAATTACAAAATGTAGGAATTATTTTGAATGAGTAAGACTGTCCTCCAATGTGAACAATTTTATTCTTCTGATGTTTCTAAACTGATAATCTCAAGTAACAAAGACTTGGTGCTGCAATTCTGCAACTGCTTAAGGTGATCCAAGGCAACCTGCTGAAACCCTCCCTTCTTACATGTTGGCTCCAGCCTTTGGTGAGCTGGATCAAGGAGTGACTGTTGGGAAATACATTGCTTCTTTTATTCTGTTATCTGAATGGATTCACAGTGGGATCACACAGGTGAGGGAAGGAGCCTGGCAACTTCAAACTGAAATGGCTTAGAAGGACACAGAACGTGACCCTCTGAGTTGGTGGTTGCTGAAAGCTGCCTGTGCCCATTCCAAAGTAGCAAGGAGAGAGAAAAGCCAACAGTGTGATAGCTTTGAGGAATGGGAGTAATACAAGGATAGAATAGCAGTGCACAGACTGCTGTCTGCCTGGACAGCCTGGTAATGTATCCTTTATGAGGAGCATTGTGTATTGGACTTAACATGGTAAATTTCAGGATAGTAAATTTAGACTTAATAAAATAATTTATTGCTGTTGCAAACAATAACAGGAAAATTACACGAGCCTATGTAAATCAAAGAGTACACTTGAAAACTTGTCTGTGGGGCTGAGATCAGTGAGCAGGTCTGGCAGTTTTCTTAGCCTTTCCCCAACCCTGAGGAAAAACAGATGAAGAACAAACTATGCACAGAACGAGGATTGTCAAAAAACTTTAAAACTATCGGTTTCAAATCTTAATAACAACAGAAGCAGTCACTGTCTGTCAGCTTTATAGCATGTGTGAGCTGTGACCACTGTTGCAGCGTTCTCAGCTGGTGCCTCTTGTAGCTCTGGCAGGAGAATCACAGGCTGATAGGGCCACAGATGCTCAAGTCGTCCTTTGCTGCAGGAGTGACTTCAGGAGGACATCTTGGGAACAGTCTGTACTACTGTAACTGCTTTATTTCATCTGTGGATTGATGGATTTGTGTCTGTAAAAGAACTAACATGGCACTTTTCCTGCATATGTTTGTTTTAAATGTAAAGAATAAAATAGATGGTAATTGATTGCCTCCTATGGGATTATTTCCCTAAGTGAGGTTGAGATGTAAACGTGTCCTCATGTTGTAGGCTGCGCTTTCTTTTAAGTGTAGTGTCTTTTGTTTGTTTTCAGTTGGGCCCAAAGGACGTGTTATAAGTTATGAAATCAGAGATGATCATCATAATTTAGCTAAGAAGAATTACAGGCACTGGCGAACTGCATGGGAAATAGGACACATGGACGAGTGGCCAGATAACGTGGATTTCGTTCTTAGAGACATTTCCACAGCTGCTGCAGATATGAAATCTGTAACACTTGACGCAGTGAGTCCAAAAAGTCCATTTGACGTGTATCTTTTCTACATAAATTAAAACCTCTAGTGCTCACACTTAGAACAGGATTCCCATATCTAGTTTAACATGAGAAAAATCAGTCGCGTCTTCATCAGTGAAAGAAACACTGGGGGGTTTTGTTGGATTTACAAGTATTTTCAAGGTTTCAGTTACGGTTTCCCAAATGAAAGAGTGATAAAGCTGTACTATAGAAGTATAACAATTAATTACTGCTGTCTTGTAAGCAAAGACCAACTTACTTCCTTGTATTTGTCAGAAACTGATATTTTTATAACTGAGATACATATTTCAGGCATTAAATCTCAGAAGAATACATAACCTTATTAAAAATATAAATATATAATCACTTTGCTATCAGCTTTATAGAATGGACAATGTAACTCAAGCATAAGTTAAAGAATGCTGTTGGTTGCTCTCCTGTCCTGCTTCTTGTATCCAGATTTTCTAAAGGGAGAACACAGCTTTATGTTAACTACTCTTCCCTGTAAAGCAGAAAAACTGCTTACAACTGCTTACTTACGAGATGCTTTAAACAATGACAATTTTTTTAAATGGTTTAAGTAGTATATATATAACATAAAAATACCATTTTAAAAAACTTTACAATCAACAGGAAATATCATATACTGCATATCCGATTGTCTCATAGTTTGCATAACTTTCTAGTAGAAGATGGATAAATTGCCAGAGACAAGTTCTAAATCTTGAAACAAGTTAGATGTTGATACCACAGTGTGCTCTTTTCATTATAAAGATGCACCTGAACACTTTTTTTTTTTTTTTTTTTTTACATTTGAGAAATAGGTATTCATATGTGTTAGTAAATATAGTCTTCTAAAAGTTTTTATTCATGTCAGCATTATGGAATTTAGTTAGAAGGAGGTTTAACTTCCTACAGGCCTGCTTGGTTGGTGAAACACTACTTGTTTTAGTAGAAATTCACTTGGAAGTAGCAAGGACTTGGTTTTGTAGAAGTGTGGACCTCAGCTTTTGAGAGGCACGATTACATACTGCTGTTGTATGCATCTATTTTCCATAAACATTTTTTCCAAGTGTTGCTGTGTTACATTGGTAGATATACCTGTTTTCCCAGTAAATGTTAATGTATCTTTCTCTTGCAGATAGTTCTGGATATGCTTAACCCTCAGTCTGCTCTGCCTGTTTTACACCCAAGCCTGAAACAGGGTGGTGTGTGCGCTGTGTATTTAGCAAAGTAAGTATTTACTTCTGGCACTTACAGCTGGCATTGTTACAAAACCAAACTTCTTTTAAAATTCACATCCAGCATTAATGAAATGTTTAGCAAAGTTTGGGGTTTTTTCTCACATGTAACTTCTTTAGGGAGTTGCACTCAGTTTAAATTACACTTGCCCAAATCCTTTGGCCTCTCCTTTGGGCATGTTCTCCTTCTGATCAGTGGAAGTCTGCACTTTATGACATCCTCAAAGTAACTGTACTGTTCTCAAATTCAGTAGTCAGGTTGCTACTCCTTTACCCTAAAATTGAAGGACTCTTATAACCTCAAAGGTAAAGAATGTGACAAAGTCACATTAGAATTGAGATTGTGTGATTTGAGTTTTTGAAATCCTACTTTACCCTTTGCATTTCTTCAAAAGCATCACACAGGTTATTGACCTTTTAGACAGAATACGGACCTGCAAGCTTCCTTTTCTGTGTGAAAGGATTGTTGAGGTAACTCACAGAAACTGGTTAGTACTCCCTGCTAAAATCAAGGATTGCAAATCAAGCCAAATGGTGGAAACTCAAGAAAATATTGAAGAACCACCTCAAAAGGAATATGAAGAAATGCACATTGAGGATCAAGCAGTTCTTAAAGAAAGCGAATACAATGGTAAGAACATTACTGCTGATGAGACACTCTCTTACTGCACTTTGGTAATCCAGTGTAGGAAGAGGCAGTATTTTTTCTTAGATCAGCTGAGAATAGCAAGGTTTTGGACAGCCTAGACCTTGTCAAATTTGCAAAAGACTATTATAGTAATTATTTAATTTTAAATATCTTATTAATAATCTAGACTAAATAGAAAATAAATTGCAATAAAGAATGACTGCTCTTCTACTACCGTTTTCAAATTTTTGTTTTTCAATAAAATTCAGTTCTTTTTTATTTGTCCTAAGGCTGCTTTAGAGGACCCTGATGGACTTAAGAATTCCATAGAAGAAACAGTGCCAGTGTGCTCTGCTTTAAAAATCACGCTGACCAAAAAGGATGCCTCACACATACACATATATATGTACACATATACAACAGATATATATATACAGTATAGATTTGCAAAATCCATACTAGAGCAAAGAGTCATAGGTGACAACAAAGCACCATAACAGAAGCAAAAAAAAAAAAATTTTGTCAGGTAAAATAATCTGTGCACATTGGCAACTCTAGTCTGCATGTATGTCTTAAACTTGTGGGAAAGAAGTAACAAACTAAATGTACTTCTCACAGGATCACTTTCTGATGATGCTGAAACGTGTCGCTCAGTGCCTTACATTGCTCGGCCATCTTACTGGCAGGAAGGTCATTCAGGTGAGACACTTGGAAACTGTTTTTTATCTTAAATGTGTAGTGATATTTTATTTCCAGAAAGTACTACTTTTTTTTTTTTTGCACTAGCATTTGGCGTGTTACTATGTCATGAAATCATAAAACTTATAATAATAAAATAATCATTGCATACTGAAATACTGAAGTAGTAACTTCTTTTGTTTTTTGATTAGCATTCCTTACCAAGCTGAGAAAGTTTCGGCCACTGCTTTCTTGATGCTGCTGCTGCGTTAGCTGCTAATTTGAATATTGTATCAGAATAAAATAAAACATTGCAAAGTAGCTGCTACATTTTGCAAGTTGTGTAACTTTTAAGTAATGACTGCTTTGATTTCTACTTCGTGTGAAGTTTGAAACCCCACTTACTATTTAAAGGGAAAAGTTTTAAGGGAATCATCAGGTCTGGTGCATCTGTGATGCAGCACAGATTGTTCTGCAAATCACAGCATCTGTTTCTGTCTCATCGGGTGTATTTCATTCTTCATTGCTTATAAACCAGTCCATGGATTTATCTTGGTTCAAGGTGCTACATGGTTGCCTTTTGCTGGACAGTCTCTGACAGTCTGCCAGAAATAAGGAGAAAAAAAATTTAGTAAGAAAATAAGGGATCAAAGTCTGTTCTTTTAAATGAATACTTGGTTGGCTACCAACTGGTGACTGCCGGTTTCTTTAAGAACAGTGTTCTTAAAGCACCACTTAAAGAGCTACTGAAATTCACTGGATTTGCTTGCTTGGTAAAGCTGTGCTCATCTCGAGAGAAAGACAGTTGTTGACACATACAGCTTTGGTTCACTTCTGCCACTCATGCTGAAAGTTGCCTGGTTAATTGTGAACTTCGCTTTATATAAAACATTCTCAAACAATCAAAGTAAACACAATTTTTTCTGACCAGATATGAAAAGCAAGATTTCTCAAGTAAAAATAGACTTAATTTTAAGTCTTTAAGGGTCTCACATGAGCATCTGGTGCTGTTTAACACATTAAATTATGAAGTGATGTGTTGTAGACACGTGACTTGTTCTGTATCTCAGGAAAGATTCGAATGCCAAATTTTTCAAAGCTGAGGGGTCCCTTGAGAATCACTAAGTTTTACTGAAGCTGTCAAAAGCAGTAACACAATCTTACTATAATAGTGAAAAGTGGATATTAATGAGAACATATCCAAATAAAAAATACAGAGCTATAAATAACTAACCCTGCATTAAATAACTGCACTAGGAACTCGCCAGTGGTTAAGTGCATGGAAGTATCTTTGCAGAGCTGAAGCCTTATACAGCTGCCCCAGGAAATTTACATCCCAAGTGTGTTCCACTTTCAATAATTATTTAACAATCAGTGTGCCCCATAACTTCTGTATGTAATGGTTCTTCTCGTGCAAAGGCTGAGGATGCTATTTTGAGTAGATTAATGTGCAGAGATTCAAACACATCACCAATTTTCACAAACTTTTGTACTGTTTCTTACTCGTACCTCAGTCTGAAAATGAAGTCTAAACTGTCAACAATTGAGATGCAAGGAAAATATGAGTTGTGATTTAGCCTGTGTCCAAATTGATGACCACAACTGAGCAGCCAGCCCTTTCTAAGAACAGTGGTCTCAGCAAGAGCACTTTAACTCACGTAACACCCTCTCTTTTAACTCACGTGACACACCTCAGTATTTTTATTGTTTCTTCCAGCGACTCCTAAGTGTTTAAAATGGAATTTTCAATTTCGTTTATAATGCTAGAATGGTAATAAGTGCCTAAATAGACTGGAGTGCAACCCAAAATCTACTGTAGCAGATGAAGATAATTTGAAGAGGCTCAGTGTAAAGCAGTTGGTACTTCCAGGAAGTCAAGATACAAGATGTGAAAATGAAAATGGATCTGTGGCAGTAAAAACAAAGTTCTGCCAAGGTAATAGGGAAGGACACAAAAGTCCCTGCGCTACTCTGAAAGGCAAATACAGCCTCAGTTGCCTAAGCTAAATGGAAATTACTTGCAATATTAAACCATACCTTGGGCATAAGCAGGAGAGTCAACAAGCATTTTTTCAGTCGGAAGGGCGTCCTTTGAATTCTGGGATGAATGTAATTCCATCATCTCCAAAGTGTCGGTAGATGAGGAGGAAGATGATAATCCCAGTCGCACAAACCTTCCTTTCTTGCCGCACAGCAGGCAGTCTGTAGGGGTAGCGCTGGGCCCTCGGGGCAGCTGGACTTCATCACAGTGACTCCTCATGGCTCCACTGTGGTGCATGGAACGTTCTCGCTGCCATATGTAATGTGTTGGAGCAATAGCCATCACCTATTGGGACAGCCAGTGGGTCAGAAAACATAAAAGTGATGGGGAAACGTACGCTGAAAACAAGGGATCCAATTAGCGTATGGCGGGGAATTAATACAACATAGCTGAAGTGGGTATCATGTATTATCTGTCTGCTGCTATCCCACTAGAAAGTTTGCTACCTTAGGCAGGAATAAGTAATCCAGATGTGGAAACATAACAACTTACAGCCTTGTATATTCAGGTGAATCATCACAAACACCAGCTCATTCTTTGCATGTTGGACAGAAGATGGTGTCTTTGCCTAACTACTAAACATCAACTAGATGGATATTCCTGTTCACAACATCACTGAACTAATGATATGAGAAGATGCTGGGAAAAGCATTCTGCACTCACCTTATTCCTTGTACTTTTCCTATAAGCATCTAATCCCATCCCCAGAGAGGGAACCCTTTTCTTTTCTGCCAGCTCTAAGTAAGCATTATATACTTAGAACATGACAAGGCCTTTTCCAGTTATACATTCTGCCTCAAAAGTGAGGAATGTATTTTTTCCTTCCTAATATATTTGGAAATTGTAGGTTGTAACACTGCATTAATAGAAGAGAATGTTAAAAGTGTTAAAACTTTCCAAGTTTTTCATAAATGTAGTGAAAAACTCTTACCTTGAAAAGTCAGTTGAAATGGCATAATTAGTTTTGAAGGCATTAAAATTTCACCTGAGCTGCTGGGATTTTTATTTGAAGGTTTTACTTGTGTACAAACTTACAGATTGAAAGCAAACACGCACACAAAGTTATTTCTAAAGTGGCTGAAGCGAAACAAATGAAGGTAGATTTTAAATAAAAAATATTGGCATAAAGCAGATTCTAGCCAATAGAAACTTTTAACAGTAGTGCAATATAAAATATTCTAGTTTACTTTAAAAACGTAATTTGAAACTATATTTTAAACGCAGAAGGAAAAAAAAAGTCATGGATGATAAATGGACCATTACATTTTAGCTGCATCTATTCTTTCCCATGGATTGTCAATGCACTTCAGGGAGGCAATTGTGCCCAGCTAGATCAGTGACTGGTGTTAACTGGTGTAATTTCAGCACCTAAAATATTAAACCCACTTCCCTACCTCTTCACAGCAGCGTCTGCTCACAATAGCCCTGTAGTCAATTCTACTCCATAGTTGATCTCTCAACCTTAAGAAATCAGGGAAGAGCTTTCTCCAGGCTTTTCCCAAAGCCCATGGGAAAATGTCATACTTTGCTTCTTCGTGGTCTTCTTCAACTGTGTTTGCCAGATACCTTCAAACATATATATGTTTGTGTTTGTAAATATTATTCAGTCTTAAATCAGTATATCAGAATGATTTCTAACATTAAAAGACATATTGAAGTGTTTCTTTTTTCTAGTATTGTGAGGAAAAAATGCTAACAAAATAAAGCCTTCTCTCTGGAATACAATATTTTCTTAATCAGTTCCTTGTGCATCCTTTGGGTAAATAAAAACAAGCTCTTATAAAAATTGCTTTACCCTAGATTTTCCTAAATTAGTAGATATGCAAGAACTGACATCTTTCTCCAAACTGACAAGAAACCCTTGTACTAAAATGAAGGGTTTCTGACTGAAATTTATTTCTCTAAATAAAGCTTTAAACTATTATATGAAATCTTAAACTTTACATTTTCTACTCTATGGATTCTAGCTATTCTTGGACAATTATGTTGCTCACATTAAATTAGCAGCAAACAAATAAATACAGGTCTACCTTCAGATATAAATGAAAACCTTAAATGATTTTTTTTAATGTCTGTATTTCTCCCTTCCTTCACTATCTGCTACTTGGTTCTGGATCATCTTCTCAGACAACAGGAAAATATTTACTTCCTCTGGACCCACCTGACACTAAACTGTAAATCACACCTGAAAAAATTACGACTTTTAGTCTCCTCCCCAGTTTTCTCACTTGCTCCTGACCCCAATATTCCCTCTAGTCCCAGTCTCACCAGACCCTTTGTCCCTTTCTAAGCCTTTTGCTGTTCTGGCCTGGCTTTTCTCCCTTCAGTGGAGTCAGAGGGCTCCCTCCTCCATGCTCTGGGGATGTTACCCAGAAGGAACAGCCATCTTTGTCCCCTCACTAGTGTGCAAACAGAGCATCTGAGAAGCGCTGTTAGGGAAAAAGGTGATCTCAACACCATAAATGCAGAATCCTGTAGGTAGGTAGATAGATAGATAGATAGATAGATAGATATGCCTGTAGGTATAGCCAAATATGGAGGGATTACGTAGGCTTGGGAAAGACAGAGTACAGATTGCTCCTCTGTTTCAAAGTATAAACATTTTACAACTGTTCAAAAGAATTCTCAGAAATTCTCTAGCAACATTTTTACAGTCGACTTAAATCATGGTGACAGAAACTTTAATGAAAAGTTACTCCTGAGATGCATATCACGGTGAAATGGTCCAGCACAAATGACTTAAAGGCTGGCAAAGATATGGAATATGTCTTATAACGGGAACTGTGAGCCATGTATATGTTGCCATGTATTGTCTTGCATATATTTCTTGTAAAGCTTTAAAAAGTTCACAGATTCAGGTTTGTTTTTCTTAATTTTTTTAACTATGTATCACTACAGCAATGCAAAATCCCCTCTCTGCTGCTCAAGCTTGTTCCATCAGAGGGAGAATGTTGAATTTGCACTGTTTATGTACAGTATGTAGATTATCACAGAACCATAGAATGGTTTGGGTTGGAAGGGACCTTAAAGACCATCTAGTTCCCCCTGCCACCCCCTAAATCGGGTTGCTTATGTTTCTATTCTTCATATAGGACCCAAACAACTGCACATCAAAGGAGTCTCATCACTTATCATAATGATCAGTGTCATAAAGAAATAAAATAATGCAAAGTTTATCCTAATAAAACCAGATAATTTAAAAGTACTTACAGAGCAACGAAGAAGTTAATTCTGGTATGCTCACTTGTTGTGAAGTTAGCCCTCTTGAAATAAACAAAAGTCATTG